AGCCTCCCGGTTCAGGTAGGGTCGCAACTGGCGCACCAGGCGAACCTGGGCAAATGCCCCCCTGGTCACAGCCGACAGGTGGTAGTCAAAGGTCACTTGTAAACTTATGCTTGTGTCATTATGAGAATAAATAGCCCCCTAATGTTTCTAGTGAGCAATCCAATTGTGGTTGTATGCGCAAATACATGCACAAATACATAATACTCTCTAACACTTATCTATTAAGAACTATACAAGATTAAGCTGTAGTTATTATTTTCCTTTTTTCGCAGGACATTCCAGTATTGGTTTACAGCGTAAGGAAGAATCTGTTGAAATGAAAGATGTATTTTCCGTAAAATTGAAACGTCGTCGTTTTGCTGGGCAAGAAAGAGGAGGCACACTATTAGGAATTGCTATTTTTGTGTGTCTAAAAAAAGAAGGCAATAAACTTAAAGATGCCACCATCAATCTAGGTAACATAAGTGAAGACCATTGTTACTTATGGTATAGATCTGTGAAGACCATTTTGACGGGTAAGTAATTTTCACATTTTCAAAACGTTTTGTGATAAAAGATATAACAGCAGTATTACTGTTTTATCAAACAATACATTCTACTGTCTATAGATATTCTCAATCATCCAGGTCATGGTTGTCCCAAAGGTGCTTTTTGAAGAGGCAACTGGACTTTCTGATTTTCCTTTGAAGACGTTTCGCTTCTCATCCAAGAAGCTCCTTCAGCTTTGACTGGATGGTAGGAAATTAAATAAATCCTTCTATTTCCCACCATCCAGTCAGAGCTGAAGAAGCTTCTTGGATGAGAAGCAAAAGGTTTTCAAAGAAGAACCAGAAAGTCCAGTTGCCTCTTGAAAAAAACACCTTTGGGACAATATATTCTACTGACTTTAGAAGAGGTTATATCCAGATAAGAATAATTAAGATGTCAATAATTTTCTCATGTTGATATAGTTATTATGTTTTTATTATTACTGTTGTTGTTTCCTTGATACACTTTTCACATGGTGAAATTACACGGATTTTATTTTGTGTATTTGGTCCATAGGTAATACTAAACTCTTAATTTGTGTGCATGAAACTCAGCTCTTTTCTCCATCCCTGTGTTCAACAGGAGATGAGAAACCTTTCCTTCTGTTTCATTAGCTGAAATTACTTGTTATTTCTTAATCCTGTAAAATTATATCATCTTCAGGTTATGAATTATGTTCCTGGCTTGTTTTCCTAACCCATGGGTGACCAACCCTTTTACTCCATTTCAATTTATTTGCGTTGATTAGTAAAATACTAGTTGTGGCAATGGATGTGGTCACACCTGATGGGATTTAGGTTACTTCTCAAGATTTACTGTGCCTCTACTTACCTGTCTGTATTTCTGACCTCACAAATACAAGTAGACTCTCATTCTCCCCTGGACGTGCACTGCAGCTCTAGTCTTGCTTCAGATTGATTGGTGCTTGGGACGAGAAGGCATGTGGTTGTTATACGTCTCCCCTTCTGCCTAGCCAATGCATACTACCGTTAGGAGTGCTCTTCCCTAATTTTCGTACCAGTCTGATGGGCAGAAAAAATTTGCTTAGGAAAGGGACCTGCAAGCCGCACCAAGAATTCATTGTTCTCAGATTAAATAGAATGAGCAATTTATAGTGGAAAAACTTCCAGTCTCCTAACAGCCATACTGGTAGGACTAGAGGTGGCTTCTCATCACCTATTCCCAGAGTGTTACGTTATAGTTTAGCAGTAATGATAAGTTGTAGTTTAATGATAATCAACTGTGTTCATATTATCATGCCATATCAAATTAGTCCAATATATGCAAAAAACTTTTGTCCATGTACACAATCACTTTGTCTCAAACTATCTTGGCTTGCTCTAAAATTGGTACTCATGATTTACCTACAGGTAATGGATTATCATTTAATGGATGTTCACAAGGCTTGCCAACCCAGGGGAAAAGACTGGATATAATTCTGTTGTTTTTGATGCCGCTAGGGTGGGCTTTTAGTGAATTCTATTTAGGTGTTGTGCTTTTGTAGCTTTTAAAATTTATTCCAATTATTTTTGCATTTGTTTTATGCTAACGTTTTAGAATTAATCTTTTAAACTGTTTTAAAAATGGGTTAAGCTGATTTGCAAACCCCCTTTCTGTTTTGAAAAAATGAATGTCTTAACTTATTTTAAAATGATAAGGGAGATTGTATCTGACTTGGTCAACGTTTTCTAAACCATGTTTCCCTGTGAATTAATTGCTACTGTAAAGCTATCCTTATAATAACTAGTTCACTATTATAACTGAGTTTGTGCAGTGTTGACTTATTTATATACTGCTTCATCCATCCGATTTGGATGCTGCTTGATTCCAAGTGATTCCACACAGCTAAAAACAAAAAAAAAAAACAAAAACAGCAGGACTAAAACACAATAAATAGGAATAGAAGAAAAATAATTATTAAAAAAGATAACTAAAACTACCGATCCAAAAATCCAGACAATACACCAATATACATGCAAAATATTATAACACCTCAAATAAGGAGTTTCCATCTCCTCCATCCAAGGTTTGGGAGGTTCACAAATGCGCACACGACATAAGCGTGCTGACGAAACCGCAGCGAGAAAACCGCGATGTCGAAATCGCGCCCACAACAGCGCGCCGACAAAAGCGTGCCTTCAACAAACGCGAAAACAACGTAATAACCCTAATCCTAAACCTAATCCTAAACCTAACCCTGAACCTAACCCTAACCCTAACCCTAACCCTAACCCTAACCCTAACCCTTACCTTAACCCTAATCACGCTTTTGTGGGCACGATTTTGTCGGTGCGCTGTTGTGGGCGCGATTTCGACATTGCGGTTTTCTCACCACGGTTTTCTCGGCGCGCTTTTGTCATGCGCGCATTTGTCGGGTCACGGGTTTGGGAGAATAAGATTGTCAGGGTCTTCATCAGGATTACTTTTGTTTGCTTCTGGGGTCTATTTCTTCATTGACATGACAGTTTCTTTACCACTTCATATGAGAAGTAAAGGAATTGGGGATGAATTTTGTGGAATGATTGTCTTTCTCAAATGTTTCTCTCTACTGCCATAAATCAAGATCTGTAATGCCCTAAATATTTGACAACAGTAATTTGATATCCTAGAAAAATATGATAATATTTTTGTTATCCTTTGGTCCAAAAACTAAAAGCACATTTAGGAATAAAATTAAGATAATATTAATATGAAAAAGCAAAGTTTAAAATTAGGTTGCAAATTTTTTACCTCCTTTTTAAAGTGATTAGGCTTATAGTCCTAGGGGAGGGAATTGTATGACTGGAACTGTACCAAAATCCTCTTCAGCATTCTTGATCACTCCTGCCATTTTTTGATAGCATTTTGTGATTGTGGTACTTTGGTTGAACCTTATTAATCCTGCTTTAATACACAGGATTATGTTCTCATTTATTGAGTTCTTCTTTTCTGCTAATTTCTTGTCTTCATTTTTCAGTATTTTAAGTACTGAAACAGAATCATACATAGTTATATAAATAGGTACTTTATATTACCTTCAGTATCTCATTTTGTATCAAAAGACTGATTATTAATTTGATTGTTCATGGTGTTCTTACTAACTCCATGCCTGTCTAATGGCATTGTAAAAATAGATGTTACTATATCTGCATATAATCAGATTGTCATAAATGTTTGTTTTATACTAAAAGACATAGAAATAAAAATGAAAGTTCTGTAATTAAAATTGAATATTAAGGATTCTGTTATACCTCACAACCAGTTTCCTACAAAAAACCTAAAATATCTATTGTATCTTAAATATTCATCACATGTCCCAAAGTTGAAACTATACAGAGACATCAATAATACTTTTGTTGATGAATAAAAGTCTACTTGGGTAATATTCGTTTTGTTTTAAGATGACAGGTTTTAATATATTGAAGATGACCTTGTTGAACTTTATTATGATTTAATGTTCATTGATTATGCTTTGATACTTACTGTAGTACACATGGATATGTCCCATTAACAGTTTTCAAAACTTTTAAATTAAAACTAGACTTTTCACTTCACTGGGATTCAATTCTAAAAATATTATGAAAGATGATGTTGCTTGTTTTATGAAATCCTGCTATAAAACTTTAAAACCAGAATAGGGTAGTTTAGTGCTTTCATTGTATCTATGATAAGGGTTTCTGAGACGAAATGACATCATTTGTCCTATCTTTTAAAATCTGATTTCTAAAACAAAACATGTTTGCAAAATATATTGGTCTTTTCGGAATCAAAGTGGAATGGTTATTGATATGAGCAAAGTGTTATTGAATCTTTTTTTACAGGATGACTCCCACACCAAGCTTTAATGCGGGTATCTAAAGCTTCCTGCAGGAAGACTTAATTATCCCATTAATGTTATACATTAACAGTTGTAGCATCAACTATGTTTTATCTCTCGTTAGCATGAAAAATGTTTATTCGTGTCATTACTACTGTCTCTATCTAGCAATTTTCTTATTGCTGGTGGTATAGAAGATTAATAATATATATGACAGTGACATCATTTCGGGCTCCGAACTTTGGTAAACATAAACCTGCTGCCATAAAACTAAATACTGAAAGCAGCACAGATGTGTGTCTGAGGATAGCGTCCCTGCTGCCCTCGGAGCCTTTGTTTCCAGACCACCCTGATTAACCCCTACTTTTCATGGTTCATTGATTCATTCACTGATAGATCAAGTTTAAACTAGTGCATATTGGCACATTTGTTACCAGGAGAGGAACAGTTGGCTGTTCTCTATAAAAGCACTACTTCGGTTTGGGGAAGAAAGCTACAATAAACTCTTAAATTAAATGTAGGTTATGATGCTGCCAAAGCTGTACAAGTCGCCTCTATATGTTTGTAGTGAGAGTTGAAATCCTTAACACTTAATATTTAAACATATGAAGTTGTTTATTAAAAGTTGGCCGAAGAATCTCATTGGGGAAGAGGAAAATATGTTAGATGATTTTATGGGGTATGCCACACAGAGTCACCTTTGAGATAAGCATCTGTAGAAAGCAAATAAATTAGGAAATGCTCCGCGTAATGTAATTATGGATACTTTGATAAGGTATTTGCTGATTTAAAGTCCAGTGCTATCAAACTTAGCTATTACGATTCATCAGAACTAAGAATAAGCCTTGTGTCTGCAAAATCCTTCCCTGGCACTCCCTCCCTTGCCCTCCATTTAGGTTATTAAATGCAATGACTGAAGGAGTTTACACAAGTAATGAGAAGGGCACTCCTCCATTGTCATCTCCATGCACTGATTATTGTGTTAGGACAGTGGTGGCGAACCTTTTCAAAGGGAGCATGCGCAGCACTGAGTGCCGAAAAGAGAGCACTTCATGCGCACAGGAGTGCTTTGTGCACATGCTCATCTGGGCCATGACCAGGAAGAGGAGCTGCCCAGGGGACATGCGCACGCCGGAAAATGACGTTTCTGGTGTGTGCATGCACGCCAGCCAGCAAGTCTTCCGCATGCACTAGCCGGCGCGCATGCTCATGCCAAAAAATGGAAGGCCAGCTCTTCCGCTTTCCGGCATTGCTGCACGCGCAAAGGCCAGCTGATAATCACATGTGCATGCACACCAGAAACCGGTGATGCCATGCATGCTAGGTGACATGGCTCTGTCTGCCACTTTGGGCATGCGTGCCATAGATTCGCCACCATGGTGTAAGGACCTTAGTTCCCAAATCTAGAACTCTTGTTTCCCTGAAAATAAGACCTCCCTGGATAATAAGTCCAGTTGGGCTTTTGAGCCCATGCATTTAAATAAGCCAACCCTGAAAATATTGCAACACAGCAGCAGCCACGAGGTGACCACGTTCACTGCCTCCTGGACCTCAAAAATATTAAGACCTCCCCCAAAATAAGGCCAAGCGCTTATTTCGGGGGTCAAAAGAAAATGAGACTCTTGTCTTATTTTTGGGGAAACACGGCCACTTCAAGAGATAAAACAACCTACCTGGTACAGGTCATTCAGATAAAGGAGCAAAGTGGAATTCTCAGTGCTTTTCATAGTACTGGAAGAAGCTTAATCAAGTTTGTCTGACTGGTTAATGCTTGTCTGAAATGGGCAATTTTAGACTTGCAAATTCTTATAGTTTATTTATAGTTTATAGTTT